GGAAGAAGATAGTAGGACTCATCTGGACAATCGTTCTTTGAATATGCTGAGCTTTTAAAAGTTTTACTTTTTTTTATATTGGAAGAGATAATAGCCCTCTTGGAGTTATATCTTTCCTAAAGCAGCTTTGTATTCTTTATAGTTTGCTTTCTTGTATATCTTTAAAAGTTGTGGTTTTTACAAAGTTTACCGTACAAGAGGATGCAGCAAAAGCCTTTAAACATAAACAGTCATGTTTACCTTCAAAAGCACCTCAACTGTATAGTCGACTATTGAGGAGAAGGAATTCAACTATGATTCAAACGTGAAAAACGAGAAGAGAATCGATAGAATAGACTCAATTCGACTGAATTGAATTTCTTGAAAAATATCTTTTCTCCTCTTAACAGAATCCACAGTATCAAATGCCACTATTTTCAGAGGAGAAAGAGACAGGAGTTATTGACTCTATTACAGAAATTGAGTATTGATGATACACTTGTGTGAGTCAATGTTGTTTCTGAGATTTGATAACACCACGCGATATTTTGGATCCTTCTTTGCACATTTGTTTTGGTTTGTCTTTTGCTATCATCAACTTTTGTAGCTTTAGTGATAAGCTGCTACTTGTCATGATATCGTAAGAAAGGAATTTGATGATTGCTGAAAATAAAGCAGTGCTGTGCTTGCGGGTTTCTGCATTTCTACTAAATAATAATATTTCAATTGGAGCTTTTGAATAGACTGTACAAGAGAATGACTTGGTTCATACTCTAGTTCCGTGTTTCGAAATGAAGCAAAAGTGACGTAAAAACTGTTCTATAAAATACAGAAAATCTAGAGAGAGACGTCTATGGAACAAATTCTTCATGAACAATCTATATTGCTTGGAACTCTCATGACTATTCTCGAAAATTCTGAAAGAAACTTTCTTATCTATGTGAGAATGGGCCATGTTCAATAGCTTTATACTCTCAAAGAGCATAAAAAACTTGTGAAATAAACATTGGCTTCCTTCCAATCCTCCTTGTACCCTATGAGAGTTGTCATTATATTAGCATACGAGAATAAGAATATCGATAGTTGAAAAAGCCATATTGATCGTTCTTCTATAGTTCAAATCATCTCAGTCCAAGCCATAAAGGGTATGACATAGTCGTCAGTTGATAAAGAGAAGAAGTTGGATTGGTATCCTTTACTGTTTTCCTTGTTGTTGTTGTGACCGACAAACAGTCAATCGTTCATTTATTTATATTTGTACTCCGAAATAAACTGAAGGTTGTTTAATTTCACTTTGGCGATGGCGAGTTTGGATGAAAAGTGGAAAGCTGTGGACAACTTTGAGTCTATTGTGGTAGATCGTGAAAGAGATGTTGTTCGAGTGACAAAAGAATTGTATGATCTTCATAAAGGCCGAAAGCAACTCAGGGGTGTAACAAGTAGTTGCAACTATCGCTTGACGATACCATTTGCCCCTCATCTCTTTGGCTCAGGCAAAACGACCTTTGCCCGAACCTATTTGGAGTTGGTGCAAAGGTTTGGTGAAACTTTTCTGTCGAATTTTGCTTCGGACCCTTTGAGGAGAACCTTTTTGGAGAAGCTGAAAAGGGCTTCGTTGCTCTTTGTGGATTTGAGGAAGTTGGAGCCCACAGACCCGAAAGAACGCAACCTAAAGTGGGCAGTCTACTATTTGTTAGTAAAGGCTGCTTTTTTGCAATCAGGTCTTCCGCAACCAGACCCGGACGAATGTTTCAAGGAACTGAAACTTAGGACTGATGCTTTGGTTCAGAAAATCCGTTCAATCTTAAACATTCCTTCTGATCAATATCTTTTGTTGGCATTTGATGAAGTTGGTGTGTTTGATACAAAGGGAACCTTTTTTGAACTGGAGAAGAATGACAAAGGTGTGGTTCGACCTTACAACGACTTTTTCGGTATCATTAGTCAATTGTGCAAAGAACCCGACTTGTTTTTTATAGTTGTTGGGAAAAGCAAGGGTTTAAGTATTAAGAATTATGTGTCTTTTGCTATCAAGAGTTATATTACATTTTATTTCTTTATCACCTTTGGACGCTTCCAGTATCGTTGAATTCCTTGAAAAGACTCTTCTTGAAACACCTACTCAAGTTCCGGTTTGTAATGTCTTATGTAGTTCTTCATTTTCAGTAAATGAATTGGCAGATTCGTTATTGGAATGTACAGGTGGAGTTCCTGGTTTGTTGACTCGTGCAGTGAATATGCTTTTGAATTATGTGGTAGTGAGAAATCAGCCTTTTATATCGAAAGAAGAATGTTTGACTTGTATGAATGACTATGATTTCCGAATAATTTGTGCTGAACCATTTGTGGAACGAATATTGAATTTGGACGAAGATAGAAAAAGTGTTTTTGATTTACTTTTGATGATGGCTCTTTATCGTATACCGTTTCAAGTAGATGACATATTGACCTCGGAGTCTTTTTTATTTGATGCAGTCACTGAAATGGGATTATATCGGTATCCTATTGACCAGAATACTTTTCAAGTCCTGATTCCAAAAGTATTTGTTGGAATCTTCAAGAGGGTCTCTTCTATTTCTTCTTTGGAAAAGATACTTCTTGGATCACTTGATGTCGAACCAGTAGATTGTTTCTTTTATTCAAAGTGTCGTGTATTTGAAGGAATTGTTGCTTTACGACTAGTTTTGATGTTGCCTTCAAAGAATCGAAATGAGTTGAGGGAATTGTTGTGTCAATTGTCTCCAATATGGAAACAAATGAAACTTCCAATCAGTACAATATCACCTATTCACTATATCAAGTCTGTTGTTAGTTCTAGAGAAACTAGAAGTGAATCGAACAAGAGTCGAAGAACTTTTTCCAGTACTGAATGGAATAAGATTATTCGAGAAACACTTTATTTAGAGACTATTTACATTCCTTTGGACGCTACTTCTCATAGTCCTGATATTATATTCCAATTACAATCTCCTGTGGAACCCAAAGTTCTTACTGTTGGAGTTGCATGTAAAGGACGTTGGAAGTCGGAAGGAATTGGCTGGTCAGATATTATAGATGAAGCCAAGAAATTTTTAGATCCTGTTTATGATCAAGTCTTATCCAGTGCAATGGATTATCATCATTGTATGCTTATTATCGTTAGTACAAAGTTATCATTGAATGTTTCTAATGAGTTGGGTAATCAGAGTCGTTGTTACTCCAGTGGAATGTTTATTGGAAATGATTTTTTCAAAGTACCTGATAATTGTGAACTTGTTATTCTTTGTGAAAGAGATGTGGAAATGCTGATTGACGAAGAAATATTGAATGGACTTGAAAGAGCATTTTGTGTTTCTGATAATCCTCCTTTTTGGGATTTTGGATTAGATTTACTTGATAGAATCCGTAACAGTTTCTTAAGTTGGCAATAGATTTTTACTCAATCCTTCCCTTTGTGATTTCTTTTTAAGAGCAAGTAACCTCTTTTTTTTTATGTTTGGAACTTGGTTATCATCTTATTTGCTTGTCTTTTGGACACCATACAGTCTTCTTTGAAAAGATTTTATTAGCTGGCTTTCAAGGCTGGCTTATAATCGTTTCGTGTCAATTTGCAATAATATTGCAGAGTTGTAACAATGATTCAAAATGAATAGACTATACATACATAGATGTTGATACAACTAGAATGAAAAATATCCTTTCTTGTCCAAATACTTAGTAAAGTGGTTACCCAAAGAATATCTCAAAACATTCTTCAACTGTCTGCTATGTTGTCTTTCTAGCCTGTTGAAAAAAGAACAGTAACTTTTTTACTATAATTTTCAAAGACTGAGACAGAAAAAGTTGTTTGTAGATTTCACTTGGACTGTCCTTCCTGTCTTTTGTTAAATGAATAGAAGAGAGTTTTCCTCGGTTTTAGACCAAACGAAGGGAATGGCAGCAAAAACTTGAGGCTTCCTCTAACTTGAGAACCTGCACTGCGGTCTCAAAAAGAGTTTTAGCTTGTTGAAATTCGATAAAAGTTTAGATTCCTTTCGTTTTTATGTGTTTTTTTCAAACTGCATTTCTAGCCTTGGAATTCATATAAATGGCTCCTACAAATATGAAACTTGTTGGATCCAAGAGAAAATATAGCAAAGGTAAGAACAAATACTAAAACAAGTATTTTAGTTTGCAATTCAAACTCTATCTCACAAGTACTAACAACACTATATATCCAAACTCTGTTTTAGTGAATTAGACTGAAAACTCACCGACTCTTAGATAGGGAAAGTAACCCGGTTGCAAAGAATAGATATAAAACTTCGTTTGACTATTAATAGTACAAGAGACATCTTAAATGATTCTATCCATGTGACAGTCAGATAAAAAACTTTCTATTTCAGAAAATTACTATTTACAGAGGAGTTCTATTTATATTGCATTGCAAAGGACAACTTTGAGAGTGGAACAGAATTGTTTCTAATTAGTCAAAGGAAACCATATCCAATCTTGAAGTATTGTCATTCCACAACAATCACTTGACAGATAACTTAGGAACTACAAAGTCTTTCAGTCAAGAGTCATGTTGGGTAAAAGTTCTTCAATATGGAGTGGCTTTCAGTTGGAGAATTGCTGAAGCTTTCAAGTTGGTACACTACTCGACCTTGACTCAAGTATACAAGGTTTCTTCTTTAGCAAAATAATTTTTTGGCTCAATCTTTTACTCTTTTTTCAGCATCGATGTGTGGAAAATGAAGGGTTATAGTGACTATATTTGAAGCCTTTATTGATATTTTTAGATAATACATATTCACAACTTGGTAAAAGTCGAACAAAGGATAGACAACTTGTGTAGCTATTATATCAATATTGGCTTGTATTTAATGATAAGTCAGTATGACAGTCTACATAATACTCTTCTCCAAACTCATTTAGATATTTTTGTATTTATAAACTGTGCTACGACCAGTTGCACATAAACAGACTTCCTATTCATTGTAATTATCTGTTTCCCACTGTATTTCGTGTGTAACTTACAAAAGGTTTGTATCTTATTAGACTTGTATATAGGAGTTTGCTTGTAGGATGGTGTGGAAGATAGTAGAACAACTCTCTTACAGTATACAAGCCATAGAAAGAGTACCCATCAATCTAATTCACCACAAAAACCCATAGAAACCTATTTCTTGTCTATAGTAAAAGAAAGTTTCTAGTCATGACAAGCAAGAAAATATTCCTGCATTCTCTCTATTGTCATTGTGAGTCTAGAAGTGTCAAGGAGATCATTTCTACCAATCACCAAATAAAGCAATCGCTCGAACAATAAAACATACACTCCTTCCAACTCCTTTGTCCTCCTCCAAGTGTTTTGTTCTTAGCTTCTTTAAAAATGTTTCGGACATTCATTAGTTGTGAATTGATTTCGGATTGGCGGCGGCGTGTAAAATGAGTTTTAGAGAACCGTTGATAGATAGAAAAGAAGATGTTTATTCTATTCTTCGAACTTATTACGACCAGTTTTCTTCAGTTGACGGAGAATTGAACAATGTACGTCCTGCAGCTTGCTTTTCCCCTCATGTCTTTGGAGCTGGGAAGAGTTTTCTTGGTGAAAATTTCTTAGAGTTTCTAAAAAAATTCGCCGAAGAAGAAGAAGAGCAGAAAGAGACGGAGGTTTCCACTGGCCATTGCACTGAAAGCAACAAGAGTTCATCGGGAAAAGTTGACACTAAGATTTTTTCTTGGAAACTCTTTGCAGAACAAACTTTGTCAGTTGTCTTAGAACTAGACAAAGATCTGTATCGTTATTTTCGATCATGTTTTCGGAAAACTTTAACGC